CCCTCTCCCCCCAAGGGCGGCAGGGCCCCCGGAAAGCCCCAGCCGTGTCCGGGAGTGCAGCCACGTCCAGCCGTGCAGTCGTGTGTCCGGGCGTGCTGCCGTGTGTCTGGGCGTGCAGCCATGTCCAGCCATGCTGCCGTGTGTCCGGGCATGCTGCCGTGTGTCCGGGCGTGCTGCCGTGTGTCCAGGCATGCAGCCGTTGTCCACTATGCTCCTGTGGAGGACGTGGCGCAGCCTGGGTGGGGCCTGGTGGCCCTGCCCTCTGCATCCCCACGCTGACCTACCTCGTGACCTCCAGACCCTCCCTCGCCTTGCTGCCTGCCTGTGACAGACGGGGCTCCAGCAGGCAGTCGGCCCTCCCTCCCGGCTGCTGCCGCTGCCTGCTTCACAGAGGGCAGCACCCTACCTTCAGGCAGCTGTGCAGAGCCTGGGCTGTGTGTCCCGCACGGAGATGAGCCGCTGGTGCTTCAGCATCATCTGCCCAGGGCTGCGATGGCAGGGCTCAGTGGGACGTGACGGGGAGTCATGCCACCCTCCGCAGGCTCTGCTTCTCATCTGGAAAAGGAAAACCAAGCCATCGCTACCTGGGCAGTCTCACTCTCAGAAAGCGTTTGCTCATTAAAGTAGGAATAGAAGCGCTAAGGTGTCCTGTGGGCTTTGTGGGTTTCTCTTTCACTGCCGGCGGGGTTGTGTGCTCAGCAGAGAGCCAGAGACGGGCGGGCTGGGGGCACCGCGGGCGTGGTCTTGCTGTGCCCTGCAGTCCTCCACCCAGCGGGTTCGGGGCACACTTGTACATGCACCTGATGTGTTGTTCAAGCCACCGGGGAGGGAATTCAAATTGCACAGCCAGCCGTGTGGAAGCTGGCTTCATGAGCCCTCGACGTGTAGCTGTGCTGCCAGTGACGGTTCTAGAGGTGGCAGTGCTGTGAGTGTCTAGCCCTTCACAATCTGAGACCCAGAGCCATCTCCCCGGTGGGCGGTGCCCGTCCCTGTGGGGGTGATTCTTAACCCCGTGCTGCTGGTATCAGCTCTGGGTCCAGCTTCCACCCCTGCACTGAGACTTGTGCAACACCATGCCCACCACCCTGGGAGCGGCAGTGACAGGAGCTGATGAGACCGTGTCCCAGACACCGGTGTGCACTGTCATACAGTGAAATGCCCAGCATTGCGGAGAAGGCTCATGCCTGCGACCCCCAGGAGTGTCTGCCGGTGTGGTCACTGCGCTCCTTTCAGCTTGGTGGAAGTGTCGATTTCTTCCCAGCTCCCTGGGGACACAGCTGCCTTTCTGGTTCATCTGGTCGCACCCACAGGTGGGGCTCCGTAAGTATTCATCAGGGACGATGCAGTGACAGAGGCCAGCCGTGTGGAGGTGTCCCCAGCATCCCCACTGAGGTTCTGCGACCGCAGCGTCAGCTGGAGCGTGGCCTGAGCAGTGCTGCCCTGCCAGCACGTGGCAGTGTCCAGCGACCAGGCTGTCCTCACACCTGCATGTCCCCGGGTCTGGGCACTCCATGGGGCCTACCTCCCTGCCGGTTTTGAAGGGCTGTGTTTTGGAATCTCCAAACTGCACAGGCTGGATCAGCAAGTGCCAGTGTGCGCGGTGTCCGGAGCAGCTACCGCCTCGCTGGCACTTTGAGGTGGACTCAATGGTCCACGGGTGCCTTCCTACTCCTGGGTCGACGAGACCAGGCCCCAGGGCAGATGGACGGGTGGAGCCACACCTCCTGCCTCGGCCCAGCCTGTGTGGCTGAGACTCGTCACGCACTGGCAGGGGTGCTGGCGTGCCAAACAGCGCGGGCATGCCGTGGCCACCCGAGGGCATGAACGGTGCCCGCGCTCCCGGCCTTCACAGTGTGTCTGCTGCTGGGAGCTCGTGGGAGTCTCGTGCAGAGCATCACATGGTGAGGAACTGGCAGTCTTCCACACGGGTGCAGGGCGGCTGTCCCCGACACCACACCTGCAGAGTGTCTCCACGTACTTGGCTGCGGGGATGTTCCTGCAAGAAGCACACCTCAGTGTCCGCTGCGAGGGCAAGGGCAGTGGCAGCGTGTGGGATGCGGACACCTTTGGTGGCTCCATGGCTGCATAGCATCACAAAGCACTCACAGAGGCCTCGTGGCAGGGCCTGCGACCCCCGTCATCGTCCATCCATGGGCTGTGTTGGCAACCCCGTCTGTCACACGTGCTGCAAGGCCCCACTCGAAATTCCTAGAATGTCCCTGTAGTGGGCAGCAACACAGAGGAAGGCGAGCTGCCTGCCCAGAGATGTGGCTAGGGGTGGGGAGGGGCGGAGTCACTGGTCGGCCCTCTGCACTGCACGCCCCCTGCACTGCCCTCCACGCCCCTCCCAGGAAGTCTGGGGCAGCGAGAACAGCGGGTTCCCAAGGCTGCCAGCCCCCACGTGGTGTGACCTGGAGGCTCTCATTGGGCCCCTGCCCAGACCAAAGAGGAGCGCCCAGCGGCTACAATGACCTGTGCCCGTCAGCCAGCAGGTGGCTGGGTGCAGGGCAGGGAGCTGCCGCCCCAGATGGAGAAGTTCCAGGCAGCGATGGTTCTGGGGAGTGTGGGCGACGCTTTGGGCTACAGGAATGTCTGCAGAGAGAATAGTGCCTGCGGCTCAGATATGCAGGAGTTGCTGCAAGACGGAGGCCTGGGCCACCTCGTGCTCTCTGCTGAAAAGTGGCCCGTAAGTGACAACACCCTGATGCACATTGCCACCGCAGAGGCCCTCACCACAGGTAGGCTGGGCCCGGCGTGGAGCTGAGCACAGAGCTCATTACCGTGTCCCCCCTCCCGCCTCCCCGTGGTTATCCAGGTACCTGCACCGGTGGGGTGGGGCGGTGGAGGCCGCTGACAAGCGCTTGCCCTGCAGGTTCGGGTCTCAGAGCCAGCGCCTTCCTCTGGCCCCCGGAAGGTGCTCCTGAGAGGCAGCCAGGGAAGCCTCTCGCTGTGAGCTGTCCGGGCAGCAGGGCAGGGCTCCGGGCCTCACCGCAGAGCCTAAGCCGCCGTGTTCTGAATTTATTTCTAAAGGATATGAGATAGTAAGCCAGTTAGAAATGTGGGCCCATAAAGGTAATGTCGCTTCGGAATTGTGTCCACAGTCCAGTGAGTCGTGTTGAACACATCAGCTACCGAAGCGACTCGGTGTAGACAGCTGCTTATGCCGCGTCTCCCAGGGCATCTCTTCCTGAGGAGCACGTTGGCTTTAGGACAGCGAGCTCCTCTGGGTCTCGGGGAGACAGGTGTGTGCACAGCCGCGGTCTCCCCCAGCCGTGGGCTCTCAGACCCCGCAGGGCGCGTCGATCCTTGCTGGGCCGAGACCGGCAGAGCTGGGAGCCAGGAGTCTCGGTGTGCATCCAGGGCCCCGTGCCCTGCTTTGCAGTGAGCGCTCAGTTTAGCTCTGCGGTCACCACAGAGGAATGCCCGACTTTGTCCTCGGTCCCGGAATAACCACAGAGATAAGATAGGGCAGCAGCTTGCTGCAGGAGCCCGACCCGCTGTGGCCACAGCGCCGGGAGAGTGTCCACAGCCAGCACCGGAAGAGCCTCGGGCCCCCGGAGCATGGGCGCTGTCGGCCTCAGCTGCATGGCCAGCCGCGCTGCTGCGAGGGCTGCTCCTCCACGCCCGGGCTGCGGCTCACGGCACACGCCCCCTCCACGTGTCCTGCGTGTCACCTCACGGTAGGCCTGTGTGCCCGCTGCGGTTAGATGGGGACAGTGGGCGGTGGCCATGGTGACGGCCCGCGCCTGTGGGCCTGGAGGCACACGTGGCCCCCTGTCGCTGTCACCCTCCAAGCTAAAGCGAGTGCACAGCCCTGACCACCTGTGTGGGGCTCCGCGCCGGCTCGGACAGTGCAGTGCTGCCCGTAACCGCTGAGGCCCGGACCCGCGGGCCCGGCACAGCCTGCCTGCGTCTCCCAAGGACGGGACTTGGAGAAGTCCGAGGCGGACTTCAGAGCTGGCGTTCATTTTGGTGCCGTGTTTTCAGACCCACGCAGACTTCTGTGATACGTGTTCCCCGTGCGCGCTGAGAAGACCCGCATGCTGCCCTGTACCCGGGGCCTGCCCGCTCTTGCTGACTTCACTCTGCCGGGTTCCAGATGCGGGAACTGACACAGAGAGGGCAAGTGTCTTGCCCTATGCCACACAGCCAAGAGCACCAGGGCACAGGAGGCCCCCAACAGCCTGGCCCAGCCCGTGTTCTCAAGCACCCTGAGGACCCGCGGTGCTGTGGGTCTGTTCACCGTCCCCAGGGGCCACGGCAAAGGCTTTGTGTGGTTTCCCACACAGGCAGATGACAGGGGCTGCATCTCTGGGTTTCGGGAACTGCCGCTCTGCAGCCCCTCACCCTGCTCCCTGGCAGACCACGGCCTGCTGCTAGGGGGTGCCACAGGGGGCAGGTTAGGTGTGACCAGGAGGACCCCTGCTCAGGTGCATCTGACCGGGGCACAGAGCGGACACTGGGCCAGGCCGCTGAGTCACACGGCACAGGGCGGAGCAGAGCCCTTGGCCGGGGCACTCAGGTCCCTGGCCGCACCCCCTACAGGGGCGCGGGCACCAGGCCTGGGGAGGCCGCTCGCCCTGGGGGAGCACCTGTGTCCTGCACTCCCTGCGCCCGCTCACCACTGCACCCAGGGCTCTGAGGTTGCTCCTCTGCGCAGTTCTCCCTCAGGGCAGGCAAGGACAAGACAGGGACACTAGGAGGCCCGAGGAACCCCCTCACCACAGGCTAGCGTGGGGCAGGGCTGTCCAGTGGGCCCGGCCTCCCGAAACGCCCCTTGCAGCCCCACGGTCTCTGCTGACCTGGGCTGGGGGCCAGCAGGAGAGCGGAGTGCAGCCTCAGTGCCAGCTGGCACTCCTCCGCAGGATCCTGGCGGCAGCACTGGAGGTTGCGCCCTGGAGGCGGGGCCCTGTCCCCACGTGCTCTACCTGGTGACTTACAAGGAGGATACCGGCTCTGGGGACATGTCCTGAGGAGCTCTCGGCAGGCCAGTGGGTCCAGGGCGGTCTGTCCAGGGCTGCCTTTACCCCTGCTCCAGCTCCCACCCCATCTCGGGAACCCTTCACCTAGGGAAGGGACGAGCCACCTCCCCGCATCCCCCCAGAGGCCTCTAGGGGGGAACAGAGTGAGGGGCGTCAGAGGCTGGGGGGGGGCATGACGCCCTTGGCCCCCCATGCTGCAGCCCGCCTGCTGCAGAAACTGGGCTTGCCACCTGGCCCTGACCTGGGGTGACACGCGGCACCCCGAACCTGGCCTGGAGAGTGCCCAGGAGGAGGAAGGGCACGAGGCTGTGGTGAGGGCTCCACCCAGATGGCACCCGGGCTTGGGCAGCACCTCCTGCTCTCATGCCCAGGCCCTCCAGGGCTCAGCCACTCTCATCCCAGGACGCCTTTGCTGGCCGGGCAACAGTGGAGCAGGGCAAGCTGGCCCAGAGCAGCCACACGCCTGCAAGTCCACACACCAGCGCCCCATCCGGTCGGTCACAGGCCCAGCCCACACGCCTGCGCTGTGTCCCCCTCCCCACAGGCTAGCGTGGGGCAGGGCTGTCCAGTGGGCCCGGCCTCCCGAAACGCCCCTTGCAGCCCCACGGTCTCTGCTGACCTGGGCTGGGGGCCAGCAGGAGAGCGGAGTGCAGCCTCAGTGCCAGCTGGCACTCCTCCGCAGGATCCTGGCGGCAGCACTGGAGGTTGCGCCCTGGAGGCGGGGCCCTGTCCCCACATGCTCTACCTGGTGACTTACAAGGAGGATACCGGCTCTGGGGACATGTCCTGAGGAGTGCTCGGCAGGCCAGTGGGTCCAGGGCGGTCTGTCCAGGGCTGCCTTTACCCCTGCTCCAGCTCCCACCCCATCTCGGGAACCCTTCACCTAGGGAAGGGACGAGCCACCTCCCCGCATCCCCCCAGAGGCCTCTAGGGGGGAACAGAGTGAGGGGCGTCAGAGACTGGGGGATGCCATGACGCCCTTGGCCCCCCATGCTGCAGCCCGCCTGCTGCAGAAACTGGGCTTGCCACCTGGCCCTGACCTGGGGTGACACGCGGCACCCCGAACCTGGCCTGGAGAGTGCCCAGGAGGAGGAAGGGCACGAGGCTGTGGTGAGGGCTCCACCCAGATGGCACCCGGGCTTGGGCAGCACCTCCTGCTCTCATACCCAGGCCCTCCAGGGCTCAGCCACTCTCATCCCAGGACGCCTTTGCTGGCCGGGCAACAGTGGAGCAGGGCAAGCTGGCCCAGAGCAGCCACACGCCTGCAAGTCCACACACCAGCGCCCCATCCGGTCGGTCACAGGCCCAGCCCACACGCCTGCGCTGTGTCCCCACGCCCGGCACCCCACCTGGTCGGTCACAGGTTCCTCCCGGGCTGCAGGCGTCTGCCCAGTCCGATTTCACGCGCCAGACTGGCCGCAGACGGCCAGAGGTGGTTCTCTCTAGACTGCTGTGTGCTGTGTCCCCGGGCGTCTGAGGCTGGGGCACAGGCCGCGAGGGGCACGTGTGCGCCCAAGTGCCGCAGGTGGCTGGGTGTGTGCGACGCCCACCGGGTGGCTCCCCACCGGCCACATGGCCTCCTCTCTGGCGGGGTGGCCATGTGCTTGGCCTGCTCTGACGTCTGCCCCTCTCCCTGCAGACTACTGGTGCCTGGACGACCTATACCGGGAGATGGTGAGACGTTACGTGGGTGTGCTGGACAAGCTCCCAGAGCGCCGGCCGGACCCTGCCACCATCGACGGCTGCGCCCAGCTGAAGCCCAACAACTACCTCCTCGCCTGGCACACGCCCTTCAATGAAAAGGGTCAGGCCTCCTTCCTCTCCCAGTGCCGACTCTCAGGGCCCCGTGGGCACTGACCAGCGGCCTCCTGGGTGCCAGGGCACGGTGGGCTCCTTTGCGGACTGCCCCTGGTCAGCAGCCCCTGCTCTGGCCGGGCCCCGGGCCCCCAGCAGGGTCACACCGCCAGCCCCTGGCTCGCTCCAGGGTGTTCTCTGCGTGTGCGTGTCCTTCCGTGTGCCGGTGCTGCATCTGCCCCACTGCTCTGCGGCCTCAGGGCCTCCGCTCCGAGCCTGTCGCCTCTGTTTGTCCTCCCTGGGATGCTCCAGGGGAGAGCGGTGGCTACGGCGTCCCTCCGCAGAGGCTTGGGCTGGAGAACGGGTCCCCTGTAGACGGAAACGCCCGGTGGGAGGAGCCGCGTGAGTGGGTCTGTCCCTGACCCAGTGGTGGAGATCCAGGTGCCCTGAGGTCAGAGCAGCCGAGCAGCTCCCCAGGAAGTGCCCCGGCGCATGGGACAGGCAGTGTGAGCAGGGTGGCCTGGCTGCCAGCCACCAGGCCTCGAGGCTGGCTTCTCCGTGGGGGGTGGGGAGGCGGCAGCACTGGGGACCCACGGTCCCCTACCAGAAGGCTGGGTGGCAATTCGACTGCAAGGAGTTCTTTTTCTAAGTTTGTTTTTCCCTTTGGACAGAGACAGCATGTGAGAAGGGCACGGGCAGGAGTGAGGGCAGTGGTGGGGACAGCTCCTTGCAGGGTCTTCATGCCACGGCTGGCCCCAGCCCCTGCCCCCGCCCCCGGCATGCACGGAGCGTCAGGGTGCGAGCCGGGGGCCTTCTGC